GCCAGGCCGCTTGCGGGCACGCTTGCTAGATACCCCCAGAGGCACCACGTTGCAGTCAGCATGGTTCTCAAAGGTCTCCTGGGCAAGGTCAAGGCATTGCAGCGCCCTGCTCCCTGCGCGTGTCCCCTGGGTCTTCCTCCTGGGCCTGAAGGAGAGCCCCAGCCCTCCACTTGTCTTGGTCTGAAGGCGTCTGGACTTGGGAGGCTGGAGTCACCCCACCAGGGCACTCGGCAGCTTCCCGCAAGTGGCGCAGTGCGGCGGAGACGTTTTTGGTAGAGGCCCACGCTATCGAAGCTGACAGGGTGGCCAAATACACGGCGCGCGAAACAGGTTGTCAGTTCGGATTGACGCCGTTGGCCGCGGCCTGGGGCAAGGAGCTCCACTGGCGATCGCTGGCTTCGACGGCCAAGTGGTTCCAGCTTCGCCGCTCGCTGAAACAGTGGCTCGGATTAGTCGAACAAGCAGGGGGCCCGACGGGGGCGACGTGGGGCGGGTTGCTCGGGGTTGTCGATCAGGCTAGCCAGTGCCTTGTGCCTGCTGAACAGGAGGCCCTCAAGTCGCTCGGGGGTCGCGGTCTGCCCGAGGACCTCCGCGACCCCGAGGGGCGCCCAGGGCTGTTTGAGGCGTTGTCGGCAGAAGTTGGGCGCGGTCTGGCGGGGGATCCCGACGAGGCGCGACAGGCCCAGCATGATGTTGCTCAGTCTTCGGTCTTCAAGGCAGCCCGCGCAGCCCGCAGATTCAGCACGGGCCAGCAGCCTCTGGCGGAGCCTGTGCTGGGGCCCGAGGTCGAGGGGGGTCTTGCCCTCGCCGGCAACGCGGCGCTCAAGAAATTCTGAGGAATGGGCCACTCTTGGCCCAGGTCCCCCGAGGCCACCCTCGGCCTTGGGAAGTCGTCCAACTTCTGGGCGCGAATTTCGGCAGAACAGGTTCTGGATGCTGCCGTGCGTTTCGCCACGGGCACGGCCCTTGGGCGGGGCGAGTTTCGGCCCGGACCGATCTCATTTAGATGCCGAGGAGTTTTGCCCACGGGCCCGCCGACATTCTCAACGCCTGGGGGAGGGGCCCGGACCCCTCCCAGCTCTGGCTCATGTCGATCCTCTTCCTGGACAGGCCCATGCCTGAGGGGTTCGGCCCACCGGGCTGCTCCCACCTTGATCCCGGGCTCTGTCCAAGGCCCGACAGTGGAGCCGCGCGCCCTGGAAGAAGCAACGCGCCAGGGCCTTTCTGGGGCCGGAGTCGCTCGACCTCGTGCGACAAGAGCGCGCGGCTGCACGGCGCGCTGGCTGCGCGCGCCCGCTCGCGCAGGATGTCATCTGGCTCGGCCCTCCCAAATTTGAAGAGCGTGTCGTTCCGAACTCAGAGCCGCGGCCGCCCAGGTCGGGCCCCCTGCTGCCACGCTGCGTGGGCTTCGTTGTCTCCGCAGGGCCGGACGGCACGCGGACCTCCGAGGGGTCACGAGTTGGCCTCTATAGTGGCCAACGACACCCCGGCAGCGGGGTGCTCCTGCGCCACGTCTGGCCAGGGCCCGCAAGGCCTGGGGCCTGGCGCTCACATTTCGCACGGGAGACGTGATCGACGATGTGTCTCTCCACGCTCGTGGTTGTCAGACCACCAGCGTCTGCTCAGCTCGGGGCTGCCGATAGCTCGGTGGCGGATGGCGCCCGGGTCCGCGGGCTCCTGCATTCGCAGGGCAAGGCAGGGCCCCGGGCTCATTCGCCGGGCTTGGCCGCGGACGTCGCGGCCGTCTTGCCCCCGCGCCCAGGAAACGCGCGTCTCGGCGGCTCACCCGGAAGGCAGACTTCCGGAAGGCACGCATGTGGGATTCTACCTGGGCCGTGGAAGCCAGGGGTGGGGGCGTGGCCCGCTCGTGCTCACGGCGACCGCCTCGTTGCGCCAGCACTGTGGAGGGGCCCGGCGACGCGAAGCCGTCTCGCCTGGTGCTCGGAGCCGTGCTCGGCGCGGGCAGGGCCGATGCTGCCTCGGCCCGCCCGTGGGTCACCTGCTGTGGTCCTGTCGCGGCTTCGGCGATCGCTGCCCAGCGCGTCGTCTGGCCGTTGACGGCTTTGAAGGCTCCGGTCGGCGAAGAAGGACAAGAGTGGGACCTCCTCAGTTTTCACTCGCCTGCAGGGCGAGTGGGGCTGCGTCCTCGGCCAGGCTGGCATCGGATATGCGGGCGCGTTCTCTCCAGGAAGCGTCGGCCTGGGTCTCTGCGATGCTCTGGAGGCCTGGTTCAGAGCTGGTTTCCCCGGAGTGGGCCGAGGCGGGCTGCACGACCATGAGCCCACTTTGCCTCGGGCTTGCCAGCTATGCCAGTCGAAACGGGGCTCCTTGTTTGACAGATGCCCCAGGTGTCCTGCACGCGCAGTGTGGAGACGGGGTCGCATGCCTCTCGAGCTTGGCAGAACGGCGGGGACGATGCTAGATGTCCCACCCGGGTGGAGAGGAAGGGTTGCTCGCGGCATGTGTCCCGGACCCGGCCACCGCGCGCGCGTGTCGCGAAAACCTGACGGCCCCAGTGCTGCGAGTCACGCCTAACCTGTCCCTGCCAATCCCCTTGGAAGGACGACATGCTTCACTGGCGGATCAGTCGGCCAGGCGCACCCGTCTTTCAGGATGGCGGGATCGCGGGGTCTGCATTATCCTGAGCGTCGGCATGTTGGCGCGATGTTCGGAGCCCCCCCCCTGTTTGCTGCCGCCGATTGCGCAGGGTCGGTGAGCACTGACTATGCGATACATATGGTTGTCCAGCATGTCCTGGGGCAGATCACGGCCCGAGGAGATTGCAAGGCAACTCTGGGATGTTGCCGCTCGCTTCGCTCTGCCACGGGCCCTTCGAATGCGCGCGCCCACTTGTGGCGGCAGATTCATGCGAGGGGGGGTTCGCGAGTTGTCGGTTCGCACATGTCAGGGCCTACGCGAAGGCCAGGAGTGCCGAGCGAGATACGATCTCGGAAGTCGACCGAAGTGCGAACGGCGCTACCGATAGTCGCGGCAAAGAGGGCGCTGCCCCCGTGAGATTGGAGGAGGGATATGCGATGCCCCTGGGAGGCTGCCACCTTATGGCCAAGCTTGTGCGTCCGTTTTCGGCGCAGCTGTCGGCATCGATGGGGGGCCGCCGAAACAAAGGACCCGATTGGCATTGTTTTGTTTTGCAGGAGGTGGATGTGGGCATCTGCCCCTCCCCCGCCCCCCCCCGCCGTGGGCTTTTGGTCGAAAAGGCTTCCGAGGCGCAGGACTCCGAAGGAAGTTCCCCTCTTCCTGCCGCCCCGCCGCCTGCTGTTGCTGCTGCTGGAGACCACCGCGGGCCCGCCTCGGAGGACCCAGCTGGGCTCACGAGCAGGCGCGTGCAGCCGTCGAGAGTGAATGGGCACTGCGTCGATGAGAGGTCGCACATTGATGCGGCGTGGTCCCACGGGCACTCGCAAAGGCCAGCGCGCGATCAAAGGAGGGTCCGCTTTCACTGTGCAAGAGACTGCGCGATGGGCTTCACCCGACGGCCCACCCCGTTGTCCCCTCGCGGGCCTTCGGGGGCCCCGTCGGAGTCGACCAGGGGTCGGTTCTCTCGGCGCCTCGGGGTGGGCCCTGCCCCGAGGAGCCCGCCACTCCGAGGGCCGCCGCCCTCTCGAAGCAGGCCGTCGCCCCTCGGCAGCCTCTCGCTGCTGTGCTGTGCGCGGTCGGCCTCCGCTTCCGCGACGAGGCGGAGGCGCTCGGCCGCCGAGCTTTCTGTGCGGACTGTGCTACCGACCCAGGCCGAGCGAGCGGCGGGGGCCGATGCCTCGGGCGAAGGGTGCTGTGGGGGTGGGGGGTCCCCTGTCGGTGGGCCTTGGCAGGGGTGGCGCCCCTCTGCCAGGGAACAAGACGTTCTCTCTCGATGCCCCCCTCCCCGTCCCCCTCCCCCCAGTGTTCCATATCTCGCTCTCTCTCTCTCTCTCTCTCGCTCTCTCTCTCTCTCTCTCTCTCTCTCTCTCTCTCTCTCTCTCTCTCTCTCTCTCTCTCTCTCGCTCTCTCTCTCTCTCCTCTCTCTCTCTCTCTCTCTCTCTCTCTCCTCTCTCTTTCTCTGTTGTTTGTTGTTGTTTCTCTCTCTCTTTCTCTCTTTCTCTTTCTCTCCCCCTGACCTTTCCTTCTTCTATGGGCGGCGAACATCATTTTCCTCCTCCTCCTCCTCCTTTTCGTCCTCATCATTTTCCTCCTCCTCCTCGTCCTCCTCCTCGTCCTCCTCCTCCTCCTGCATCATCATCATCATCATCATCATCATCATCATCATCATCATCATCATCATCATCATCATCATCATCATCATCATCATCATCATCATCCTTCTCTTCCTCCTCCTTCTCATTCTCCTCCTCCTGCTCCCTCCCTTCTCCCTTCCTCCCTCCCTCCTCCGCCCTGCGCCCACAGCCAGCCCCCAGGGGTTCCCGGCTCGAGGCGCCCTTTCTTGTCCAGGGTGCGCGGCTCACACGCCTCGTGGTGGCAAGAAGTCTTCCCGTTGCTGCTCCGTCCCTCCCCTCCCGCCCATCCCTCCCTCCTGATGCTGCTCCTTCCTGCTGGTCCCTCCACTCCCCTCCCTCCCCTCCTTCCTACCCTCCCCATCCCTCCCCATCCCTTCCCTCCCTCTCCTCCCTCTCTCCCTCGTGGTGCTCCCTCTCCTCCCTCCCTCATGGTAGTCCTCTCCCTCTCTCCCTCTCTCATGGTGCTTCCCTCCATCCCTCCCTCCCTCATGGCGCCCCTCCCTCCCTCCCTCATGCTGCTCATCCTTCCTGCTGCTCCCTCCCGCCCCTCCTCCCAGACACGATCGCGCCGTAAGAATCACGAGGGGAGGTCTTGGGCCGTGCTCGGCCTCCAGGGGCTCTCGCCGAGCCTCAGGACCGTCAAGCTCGCGATGCGAGACCGGCTCCAGGGAACGGGTCGAGACATCCGGGGATCTACGCGTGGGGAAAGTCAGGACGTCGCAGGTCCGGGCCTCCTCCGCCGCCCAGCGCCCGTGGTCGCCCCGGCCCAGACAAGTTCCCGGCTCCGCCGCCAAAGGGGTTCGCCGCGCCCAGACCGCGGGGCCGCCAGCGCCGGGCTCCCATGGCCTCTCGCGTGAGGAGAACGGCGACGGAGTCGTCCGCGGCGACGGACGCGACGGACTCCGTGCTGGATGAGGACTCCGCCCTCCCCGGGCCGCAGTACGTGGTGGGCACGGGCATGACGGTGGACAGCAGCGTCATGGTGGACAACAGCGTCATGGTCAAGACGGGCGCCGTGGACGACAGCGTCATGGTGCCGGCAGGCCACACGCAGTCCGGCGCGAGCTCGGTCCACCGCATGAGGACTCAGGTGGACGAGAGCGTGGTCATGGGCCGCGCCTCGACGCTGAAGGGCACGGCGCCCGGCGGCGGCTGGTCACAGAACATGCCGCCGCGCATGTCAGTAGAGTCGTCGGCCTCGCGGGCGTCGAGCGCGAAGACCTGCCTGGACAAGACGGTCGAGCAGGTCGACGGCCCGGTGCAGTTCATCGAGATCAACGACGAGGGCAAGTGCCGTGTCAAGCGGGAGGCGTGCGAGATCCTGAAGATGTGCGAGGGCAGCATCTCGGTGGTATCCGTGGCGGGCCTCTACCGGACCGGAAAGTCGTTCCTGCTGAACCGACTGCTCGGCTTGCAGGACGGATTTGACATCGGCCGGTCCATCAACCCTTGCACCAAGGGCTTGTGGATATGGGGAAGGCCCGTGGAGCTCGCGCCGGACTACCATTGCATCCTCGTGGACACGGAGGGGCTGGGCTCGGCGCAGAGGTTGGCGGCGCACACAAGGGGAAGGCGTGAGGTGGGTGGCCTTCGGGGTGGGTCTTAGAAGGCGGGGGGTTACTTAGAAGGGCTTCGAGGCTTCTGATGAGGCGTGAGAGAAGCCAGGATGGCCTCTGAGAAGCCCCCTGCTCTCCAAAAAGCCCCCGCCCAGGCTTCGCAGCACAGGGCGCCCCCCCTCGGGCAACCCCTCTCTCAGAGCCCCAGCGCCGCGATCTGTTCACAGCGTCGACGCCCAGAGGTCCTGACCCGCTCCCTGGGGCCAGCTTTACGCGCACTGATCATGTCTAAGTCTTCGACAGTGCTTTGTTTTTTGGGGGGGCCAAGATCCTTTCATGTCTATTTCTTCTATCCTGGGCCTCTTCCTGGCCACCAGGGGGCCAGGAAGAGTTAGAAACAAGCACAATTAGAAAAGAGCACGATTAGAAATGAACGACGTGTACATCCCGAGTTGTTTTTTGACGGTCCCCGGGTCCTGGCGAGGCCCCCCAGAGGCCGAAAATAATACCATACATATCCTTGGCATCGCTCGGACGTGTGCATTTTTTTTCCGGCGAGGACCATCGAGGAGCATCCTGGATCATTCTGCGAAAAATAAACGCACGAAGCCGACAAACACAGGGGGAATAAACATCTGAATGAAGGCGAGCATCCGTCCGGAATTGAAAATTGCAGCATCTCAGAAACCACGACCAGAGCCCTAGACCCCATCTTTCTGATGTGTTGTTCGAGGCAGAGCGATCTGGGGCCCGAAGACAGGTAAAGACGCCCGGTGTGCTCAACTGCCCTGCTTCGACCGTGATGAAACGCAGCACGTACCGTGTTCAAAACGTCCGCGTTAGCACGGTGCGTGCTGGCTCGGCACGTGTTGGTCCACGTTGTGGCGAACGTATCGCGCCAGACCTACAGTGGAGGCCCATGCCAAGAAACACCCTGCTTGCCCCCAGGGTGCCCTGGGTTTCTTGGGTTTCGATGGCTTTGCTATGGGAAGCGTGACGCTCCCAAAAGTCGAGGGACGCCCTGGGGTCTCAGGGTTTCGGTTTCTTGTGGAAGGTCTCTTGTGGATCGGCCTCCACTGCACCTCTTCAGTCCACGTGCTGCGCACTGCGTAACCCTCGGGGCAGCTTGGCCGCTGTGAAAAAAAGCGCGGCGCCCGGAGCGCAGGGAGGCGCGCCGCCAGCGAGGTCTGCCAGCCACGACCTCCAGATCTTGTCGCTGACGGTGCTGCTCAGCTCCGTGTTCATCTACAACTCCATCGGCGCCATCGACGAGCAGGCCTCTCCTCCTCCTCCTCCTCCTCCTCCTCCTCCTCCTCCTCCTCCTCCTCCTCCTCCTCCTCCTCCTCCTCCTCCTCCTCCTCCTCCTCCGGGGGCCACGTCACTGGGGGAATAGGCTCCGGGGGGGGGGGGGGTAATCGGCCCCCAAGCGCCCCCTCATCGCCGACAGGGGCTCGATGGCCCACCCCGCCCCGGATTTTGTGGATTCGCTTCGGGGTCCCCATCGCCAACCCATCGGCGATGTACAGTCAACCCGCATGGTAAGGAAGGGCAATCTTCCCAAGGGTGCCCTTGCATCCCTTGCCTCATCGGCCCATCCTTGGCCACTTTCGTCGGCTGCGCCCCGCTCGAAAAGCTTCGGAGTTGGCGTCCCAGGCCCTTTTCATCCTTATCGCGCATCCTTATGATACTGGCCGACGGTATCGCCGATTCCAGGTCGATGATTACCCTTTGAGCCGGCCCCCCCCCCCCCCCCGAACGTTGTTCCTCAAGGCCATAGACGAGCTGCACCTTGTGCTGCAGCTGGCCTCGCACGTGCACGCTGGCTCCTCCGCCACGAGCGGCGACAAGAAGGGCAGCAAGGCTCTGGCGACGAGATCTACTTACCCAGACATGCTCGCGTCGTGAAATGAGCCGAGACGAAAGATTTGTGGCCGCTCCCGGCCTCTGGGGGCCCTCGTCAGGTTTGGGGGCCGTCAAGAAACATCCGGGATGGAGAAGAGATCCGAGGAAGTGGGTCGATATGTTGGGGGGTCGGCGTATTGAAAAGCGAAGACGTCGCATACCGATGCACACGCACACCGCCCCTGGCCAGGCTCATCCTGAAACCGGAATCAGGCGTGCGCTTGAGTCGGGCCTGTCCCTCTACAGGAGGAATGCTGAAAAATGGCATAAAAGGAGGGGAAAAAGACACTCCGTGGATCATCTGTTCACCATGGTTGGCAATTGTTGGTGCATGTTCGGACTACTTTTGCACTTGCGTCCAGAACCCGCCTGTAACACCTGTAGGGGGTCATGCCCGACCTGAGCACACGCCCCCCTGACGTGGCCAGAGAGGCACGTGCGCCGATCCCAGACCCAGGACGGGCCCGGCCAGGAGCGGTCCGCACGCCTCGAGCTCGCGCCCCCCTGGCCGAGGGCAAGAAGGAGGCCACCGCGGAGCTGGCCCCGTACCTGCCCTCCTTCTTCTGGGTCCTGCGGGACTTCCACCTGAACCTGGAGGACAAGCAGGGCAGGCCCGTCACCGAGCGGGGCTACCTCGAGTCGGCGCTGGAGCCGCCCAGCAACTCGAGGCCGAACGACGACAAGAACAGGAGATCGGCATTACCCCCACCCACACACACATACACACACAGACACACACACACACACACTTATACTTTTGGTGCTTCGGCCCCCCAAGGACGACGCGCGCGCGCTCAGAGATCTTAGAGCAGATGCTCGGTGGCGGGCGCATTCTGGCCATGCCGCCTGTGTAACAGTAGACCCTGCTATGCTTCTGCCATATAGGTTTGGTTCGGACGATCACCGCCCAGGGTGCATGGTACCAGTATGCCCTTCTGCGTCCCAGGATACGCAAGGTCATCCGCGAGCTCTTCCAGGAGCGGGACTGCGCCACTCTGCCGCGGCCGGTGGCGGACGAAGAGGACCTGCGACGGGTGAAGGACTCAGGTCGGACGAAGGGCGGAAGGGAAGGTTACGAAATCTGCTGGATGCAGCTGGCTTCGGCCCCGCCGCCAGCCGCTTTCTGCGATACGCTTCTGCGATCACTTGTGAACCCTTCCCCTGCGGGTTCACTTGGCTGTAGGCATCTTTCGAACTCGGAGCCCCAGCCCGCGTTTCTGAAATCTAACCTGTAGGGTCGGTGTCACATGCTGCTACCGAGAATCAGCGTCTCTGGCTTCGGGGGGCGGCTGCCGGAGCCTCTTCGCCAAACCCTCCGTTTTGCGATATGCCCACCTTCCGTCCGACCGCGGAGGACCTGCCCTACGAGTCTCTGAGGCCTCAGTTCCGGGAAAAAGTGGAGGCCTTCTGCGGAACCGTGTTCAAGTCGCTGAGGCAGAAGACGATGGACGGCCAGAACATCACAGGCGCCATGTTCGTAGATTTGGCCCAGGCCTACTGCAAGGCGATCAACAGCGGCGCAATCCCAGCCATCCAGTCGGCGTGGACCTCCGTGGTGAAGCACCAGATGCGACTGGCCCTCAAAGACGCCATCCAGGTCTACCGCAAGGAGATGTCCGAGAAGGCGATGAAAGCGCTGCCCATGGACGAGTACACCCTGTACGAAATACACAAGGCCGCGAGGGAGATCGCCCTCGAGGTGTTCGCGGAGCTCAGCATCGACGAGCGCAACCCGGTGGTGGTGGAGTGCCGGCGAGAATTCAACGCCAAGACCGACGAGATCTACGGGCAGATCGCCTCCGAGAACAAGGTGGCGATACAGCAGCAGTGCGTCTGCACCGTGTGCTGACCGCGCGTGCGGGCGCCGCGGGGCAGGCGTGGCAGGCGGGGCGGGGCAGGGCTGGGG